ACCATCTTCTGCTCTATTTTCACGTGTCCATATTAGGCAAAGCTGTACTTGATATGGCCCAGCCGGTGCAGGGGAGCCTGGCTTTGGGGGCCATGGTGGTGATTTCAGAGGTCTGGAATGTCAGATAGGCTTATCTAGGCCAGGAGATAGCAGCCTTCCGCTCCCAGCTTCACCCCTCCCAACTTCCCACCCTAGCTCCCTGCCTCCCTCTGTAGCTCAGGAACCACAAAAGGAGTTGGGCTGAGAGCAATACCTAGTCTGGGCTACACCCCCCCCCCCACCCCCAGAAGCCACATTCTGGAGCAAAAGCTGTGGGATGACCCTGGTGGAGGCTCACAAAATACAGACATTTCCCTTTCACAAGGTAATGAAAGGCTTTTATTTTACAGGTTAGCCCCTTTTCTGCTAGTGACAAGAGAATCCAGGAAACATTTCTGGTGCCCGTGATTTTATGGCAATCATATATACAAATGCCTTCTGTCCAGAATTGGTTACCTGTCATGAATGAGCCACCCGGGAGGGTTGTGGAAGGAACCCTGGATTGGAATGGGGCTCATTCCCAGCGGTCAGTCCGCCAAATGCCCTGACGGCAAGACCTGTCTTCATAGCCCGACCCCGGAGGCCTTTCTCTCTGGTCTCCTCCTGCCTCCATCCAATCTGTTCTTTCTGGCTCTCGCCCTCTCACCTCTCCCCACATGCAACTTTACTCCCATTTCATGAGCAACACACTCTGCCTAGATAATCTCTCTGCCTTGTGTTTCCTCTAGCTCTTCCCTTAGCAATGCAAGGCAAACTCCTGCTCCCCTGTCAAGCCCCACATCAGACCTCCTCTTCCAGGAAGCAGTTCCAGATGACCTAGGTCACACCTACGCCTGCAGAAGAGTGCACACACCTCTCTCGCAGCACTTAGGGTATTAATGATAATGATGGCTAAATGTTATTAATCACTTGTGTACTAGGCAGCCTCATAAACACTTTACAAAAATAACCTTACTTAATCTTCACAGTCACCCCATGAAGAAAGTGCCTCATTTTACAGAGAATGCTACAAAAAAATCAGAGATTTAAGTAAGTTGTCCAAGGCCAGAGAGATATTAAGTGGCTTATATAGTAGCTGCTCAATAATTATCCAGCTCATAAATGACCAGTGAATACGTTTCCATCTCCTCTATGGAAAGTCCAAGTAAGAATTACTTATTAGTCTTTCAGACCATATCCACTGTAGACACCTATGAACATGCAGGCCAAGGGAAATATATGATAAATAAATGAATAAAATAATAAATAAGCAAGCCAATAAATAGGGCCCAAGTCCTGTCCAGGCCACCCATTAGGTTTAGACAAATAGCTTTAGCTTGCCAAGTCCTATTTGTCACTTGTCACGTACAGTGACTGGACACAATATTCTCTCAAGCTCCTTCTAGCATTAGAGGTACATACACATAAAACAAACAAGCAGATGCCACGATTTTGTGGTTATGGTAACTCCTGCACTAAATTACATACTGCATTTACTCCTGGTTGTTTTCCCCAGAACATTACATGATTGGATGTGGCATTTGATCCAGGTACTACCCTAACACACAGCCAATAGCAGTCCTGAGAAAGTCAGTTTGGCCTGACCCTTGGTTCCTTCCAAGGTTCATATCCTTGATTCATGTTGAAACAGATCACACCCAGGGAAAGAATTGTTAAGTAACTGACAAAACGCTCATAAATAATAATCAATAACAAACAATGATCCCAAGTTAGGTTATGCAACTGGCACCTAAGCCAATGTTCTAATGACCTTGCAGGTCCTTCTCCCGGTCCCCTGGCACCTGTATCAGGGACCTTCTGCTCTAAACAGATCCTGGTCACCAGTCTCCCCACCAACATCACCAACACATACACACACACACACACACACACACACACACACACTCACCGCTGGCATGAAGAAAGCAGCACAGTTCTTACCACATAGTAGGGCCCAAAAATGCTTATGAAATGCTGAAGCCCAGGCACTGCAGAAATGTGTCCACATCGGTGCAAGGTGAAAGGTTTGGCTGAATTTCTCATTCCCACCCTGCCTAGAGCTAACCAGGAGCTTGGCTATATGCCTACGACCTGACACACCTGTGTCCCACGGCTTAGCGTTAATGATCAGTCACATGGCTGCAGATGCCCAGCATTTCTTGTTTGGCTAATGCTCAGTGTAAATGACTACACCTAAATGACTATACCTAAATGAGGGGTGTGAGCAAGACCATGTGTGTTCCTGTCGGGAGAGCAGGAGGACCGTGTTTTGTGTTCTACTTGACTCACAGCAAGGAGTAGAAGTGCCAGGCTCTCAGAGCTGAGCACTAGCCATCCATATGAATCCATAATGGAAAGGGCCTCTACCATGACCAAGCGCAAATATATAGTCATTGTAGAAGACACCTGTTGTTTTTCTGTCTCTCACCTCATGTCCTTGGAGCTCTGCTTCTCCCTCACGTCAGTCGTGTGATGCTTGAAAGGACTGCCAAAGGTGGTGTCCGGCTCCCCTGGCTTTGGCTGCGATAACTAGCCCAGAGGTGAGCTTACAGGGATCCTCCCCTGAGTTTTTTTTCAATATCAAGCAGGAAGATTCTAGCCTTTTATGTCACAGGGCTATAAAGATATGAACTAGAGGCTACCAACATGGGAAAAAACCCCATTTGCAGGGTGAAGGAATGGAGCCAAAACAAAGCAAAACATCCAAGAGACAGATGGAAGGAGGGGGGATGGGACAGACTTGGAGTGTCTGGACCTTCCTGTTTATACAAATTATGTACTGATGTCCCTGGTTTCTTTAGGGTAGTTTGGCCTTACACAGTCACAACTGTACTTAGAGTACATTTTCAATGTATTTTTCTATTCTTCAGGTTGTTTTTATAAGACAGACTATCACACATTGGAAATGTCTTTGTTCTTCCTCCTAAGAGAGGTGTGAAAATTCCTGGGCAAGAATCACTATTACTCAGCATCACTAGCTAAAGACCTTAGTTCTTCCCCTTCATATCTCAGGTACCAATGGTGACCTTCCAACCACAGGATGTGAGGGTTCTTCTATTTCAAGCCACCAAAGCTTGTAAAATAGGGACTGGCCAGACAGGCTGGGCAACTGGCTAGTGACTTCTGAAGGAAGGACGCTGACATGGTGGTCAGGCCTGCATCCCATTCCTCTGCTGGTGACTCCCTCTGAAGGTCTGTCTTCAGATCACCAAGAGAGCTCCCTCAACAGCTCTTACGGGCAACGCATTTCCTAATAAAATAAGACCTTTGAAGACCTTCCCTGAGAAAACACCCCGCAGCTCAGCCACCTGACTTCTGTGGCACCTTTTAAAAAGAAAGCCACCATACACAATTACTGAGAAGGGTAATGCTTTTAAACCTAAAAGCTTCTGCAGCCTCAAGCCTGAGCAAACGCCTAGTGAACTATGAACCATAAAATTAGAACAGCCAGGAAGGGAGGTGCTGGGTGGGGCTGGCACATAGGATACTGGCCCCCTTCTTTCTCTCCCTCTCTTTCTGTACCATTTCTACCTCCTGTGTGTAAGGCTGAAGCTTCGCAGGTTGTGGGCAGGCACTGCCTGGATGGCCAGGATGCTCTGGGCTGAAGCGACTGATCCGTTTCACCCTGATGCAGCGCTCTTCCCATCTTCCATACAGTTGTGCATCCCAGCCTCAGAGAAGCTTGGCAGCTGTCTCCCTGGGGGCCAGGGAAAGCAGCCGTATCCCACAGTGGACTCAACGGCTCCTCATCACCAAAACAAACACACAACAGTCCCGATCACCATGGAGAGTTCAGTCCTCTTGTCTGGGATTGGCACCGACTAGAATTCCAAGGGCTCTGGCCGAGCTCTCTCCTGTGAGGTCTAAATACAGAACGCTCACTTTTAACCTAAACATCTAGTCTGGACTGGCGCCCAGGGCGGACAGCCCCCAAGGCCCAGCCAGGAAGTCTTGACGCCTGAGTGTCCATTCAGCGGTGGGCATTGCAGAACTATCTGAGACGTGATGTGCGGGTCAGCCCCGCCTTCACAGATGTTGCCTATGGCCAAACAATGGGGGAAGTAATCAATCAGCTTATGGAGGGTTAACCATAAGTGTGATCCTGAGCAGAGAAATACGTCCTGGGGAAGGAGGTGGAGAGGTAGAAAATGGGAGGTTGAGGAGGAAGAGAGACAGTGTGTGAGTGGCAGTGGGGGGGGGCAGTAAGGACAAAAGACCTATTTCTCAGCCAATTAAAGTCTGGGCATCTTTCTAAAATGTTTGCTCCCATGAGAACAGAGCAAATGTTTGTTCTGATTATGCCTATCCACAGAATTTAGGGCTTGAGCACTAGACGCAGACCAAGGTTGCCTTCCAATTGTATGAACTTGGGCAAGGTAATTGACTTTTCAGTTCCCATATCTCTAAAATGGCCCAGTGGACTACCGTGGGTATTCATTGAAACCGTGTATATGAAGTGCCCAGCACACAGAAGTTGCTCAATAAATAGTAGCTACCAGCAGTCGTAGTAGCAGTAATAATAGAAGTAACAGTGTCAAACATGTCCTTGTTTCCACTGTTTAAAAAAAAAAACTTTTAGACAGAGAGAAACATTAGTCAGTCGCCTCCCGTATGTGCTGCAACTGGGGATCAAACCCACAGCCTGGTAGGTGCCCTGACCAAGAATCTAACCTGCGGCCTTTTGGTGTATGAGACAATGCTCCAACCAACTGAGCCATTCAGCCAGGGTGAGCACGCCTTTCTTTTTTCTGCTTTGGAGAGGGCACAAGAATAGTTGCTAAAGCCACCACGATAAGATAGAAAGGATAAGCTGTGCATGTACATATGGACAAAGGAGACCTTCAACCGAGCAAGGTGATAAAACACACTCACACCTGTTAGAAACCTTAGAATGTCAAAATGGCAACAGCTTCCTGCCTTCTCAACGAGTCAGCCCGGGTGCCCTGCAGGGGTCAGTACTGTCCACGTGTGGATCCCCTTACCTTGGTGTTCATACACGACTTTCCTCGCTTATATTCTTTGTGGGATCCACGCTTGTCCAATTTGTACCACAAGGCTTTGGCCTTCCAGGTGGTCACTTTGGACTTGAGCTTGGAATAGAAGTTTCTATGGTCCAGAGGGTCGAGGTCCAGGTGCCGTGTGAGGATGTTGAAGGCTTGGAGGGTGCCTTTGCAGGTGGAAGCCTGGACGAAGTTCTCAAAAACCTGCCCGGCCTGGGTCTGCTTCTCGTCCTCGTTTTCCCCCATGTTTCAGGAGCCACGTGCAGCAGATGGAGGAGGACAGCATGAAGCACCGGAGAAACGTCACACCTGCAAAGGCAGGGGGAGGCAGAGGTGAGCTCCAAGGGTGGGCAGAGGTGAGTGCTGAGAGATCGGATGAATCTCCTTTAACATACTAAACATGCTACTTAATACTAAACATAAGTAATCTGTAGAAAATGTCCAACCGTGCTGGTAAATGGAACTTGGTAAATGCTACCTGCTGGCCATCTCTCTCCTCACTCCTCCTGTGACTGACACGAACCACAGAGAACTCAAAGCTATTCCCTGGCTGATGTCAGTGTTACCTGATCAAATCCGCTGTGTGACAGATGATTCCAGAAATAGTAACTAGCAAAAGGGATAAAACAGAAAAGCACTCTAGATGTAACACCATTAAATACCTATAATCCTTGCTACAGATTGCTTGACTAATATGAGGTACCCTAGCCACAGGACACTGGTACGCAGGCCAAAGACATCCAAGCGCTTGCCTCCCTAGGCTCCATGACCAGCTCACCTATGGCTGGACACCAATCTTTACGTCTTTTCTGTTGGTTACCAGCGGGCAGGTCTTTCTCCTAGACAGACAACAAACAGCGACTTCTCAAAACTTCACTCTGTTCCTGGAATCTGCTGGAGTCACCGCATCTGCCGCTATCAGAGATGCACGAGAGGAGCCTGTGCTTTGCAAGCTCACGCTGTGAGCCCTTTGGAACAAGTGCTTGGGCTGGCGGAAGGAAAAATGTAATGGGTGTGCATTCACATCACGAAAATAGCTTGCCTGGGTTTTGGCCATCGCCCTTTCTCTCCGTACCACTCTAACCTCAGGCATTTCTTGGGAAAGTCATTTAAGTTTCAAAGGAACAAAAATAAATGAGAGCTGATTTTCCAAAGCACTAGATATTTTTTCCAAAATCCAAAGCTAGTGCAAGAAGACCAGCATGGAGGAGATGGGGCTGGCCCAGCTGTCAGGAGGGCTTGCAGGGGTCTGTAAATGAGAGGATACAGCACACAGAGCTCCCCAGACAGAGGCCTGGCTGCAGGAGGTCAGCAAACAGCGACCAGGCCCTCAAGCTGGGCAGCTTCCCACTCTCCAGATGGGAATGCTATTATGGGTGCATTTGGATTGTGGGCCGGCTTTATAATACTACAAGCAGAGGGTGAGGCCAGTGTTTATCTTTTTCCTTAATCCTTTACTCATTCATTCAGCATCAATAACTAGTGTCTTAGCCAGAGCCATGCATCACCCTAGGTGCTGGGGATACAGAGGGGGGGCCTGACAATGGAGAAAGGCACAGGAAGAGCTGATTACAAGACAGCAGGCAGGCACTTGTAGAATATAAACATGGTCATGCAAGCCCAGAGCAGGAGGTGGCCAAGAAAGCCAGAGGAGCCATGAGAGGCAAATGCCAAAATGCTGCAATTTTAGGAACGTGGTAGATTTCACTAGAAAACTGGGGAATGGACCTTTCAGTCAAAGGAAATACCATACAAAGGTGTGAGTGTACAAAGAGCCAGTATGCCTATGGAATGACAGCAAGTTTAATGCATTGAGAATTCGGGACCCCTAACGTAGTGTCGTGGGGGAGCCTAGAGCTGATTGTGGAGAGGCCTGGCTTCTCCAGGGGAACCTGGGGTGCAGGAGACAAAGCAGCACCTGGGACAAGTCTTTGGGAAGATGAATGGGCAGATGGTGGACTAGAGAAGAAGGCAGCTGTGGGGCTGCCCAGGCAACAGTGAGGAAAGCAGTGGGGAGAGGAAGCGGGGAAAGCTCACCCATGAACCTTGCATGGCAGCCGGAGGAGCACCACCTGTAAGGAGCAGCCTGCTGGGGGCAGGCACACCCACTCTCCAGATGCTCAAATACGGACAAGTGAAGGGGGCACCCGCCACAGAATAGGACCCCACCCTCCCTTCCCACTTTTCCCCAAGAGCTCCTGCCACACCTGCACCTGCACCGTACTCAGCTGAAGAGAGAATAGCACATTTCCTGGTCCAGGGCTAACCAAGTTCAACTTCTCAGCCAAGCCTCTGTCCTCCATGGGAAGGTATCTGGCTGCTCTGATCCCTGAAACTCAACAAGTCCCACAGCCTTGGAAAGCTGGCTCTAGGTTGCCTGGCACTGGGAAGACATGGAGCCCTCACAGATGTTCTCCCAGCTTCTCCGCTGTCCACAGTGCTCACTTTGGCATCACTCACATAAACACTGCCTCCTCCTGTGTTTCAACTTCCCCCCAGTCCAACACTTGCCACCCAGAGAGCATAAACAGAGAACAGGACTCGTATGCTTTTCAGAGAGTATTAATATCCTCGGCCTTTATCTTTGGAAACACTTCTCTGCCCAGCATTGAACAAAGGATGTAGTCACTGATTGATGAGTAGAAAAGTGCTTGAATTCAACTGGTATCCTGCAGTCTCTTCTAAGGATGGGCTGGTGGTGCAGAGAAAACCACAGGCTTTGCAGGTATTAGAGTCCAAAGCTCAGCTTGGCCCCTCGCTGCCCACCGGGCCTCGCACAAGCCACAGAAGCCTGTTTCTTCCTTTGTAAGAGACAGGTTGCAATCTGCACCTGGCAGGGTTGCTGTGAAGGGCCAGAAACACATGTGACGGCAGAGCCTGGCATTGGGAGGCACTCGGTAGATGTGGAAATGTGTGCTGCGTGCACCACATGGGATGGGTTTCTCTCTGGGGAATGTACCAACTTGAAAATCAATTCTCCAAGTTGCCAGCTCCTCCTCATCTGAAATGGCGAAGTGCTTAGAGGTATCAAGCCAGACCTGGCTGCCAAGAATCATTTACAAACTGGAAGAACCTGTCTCCTCCCAACCCCAGCTGCCTCCTCTCCTCACTCCCAGAAGAATAATGAACAACTTAATCTTGGGCCTCCAGTGGAAAGACCCAAAGGTGGTGTTGAGGGTGCTGGGTGGGCGTGGGAGCTCCAGGAACCAGCTCTTATCTAGAGTGAGATAAGGGAGGTGAGGGAGACAGCCAGACAGAAGATAAGTGCTGCTTTGGACTGAACCCCGCAGCCTGTACCAGGCTCAGACCTGCCTTCCTGCATCTACAGGGTCTGGTCTCAGCCTTTAAAATCAGCTCTCTGGTTGAACTCAAAGACCTTAAAAATGACTCTAATACCTGTGATGTAGGTTTCTCACAGAAGAACATCAGAATCTTTACAGAGACTAGCAAACTTGGAGGTGGACCAGGTCACATGCCCTTGCTAGCTGCATGACCCTAGGCAGGTCTCTAATCTCTCTCAGGTGTTTTCTCATCTGTGAAGTGGAAATAATAATACTTCACAGGGCTCTAAGGGTTAAATTAGACCTTGTAGGTGATGCATTCAGCACCTGGTGGCTACATGATAACTAGCACTCATTACTATTCTTCAAATGCCTCAAACCTTATCAAACCAAAAGGAAGAAGAAAAAGGGAACCTAATTGATAAGCATTAGAACTAGCTTTCCAGATCAAGGAATTATATACTTAAAAACTAGAGGCCATGGTCTTTCAATTCAGATCAATTCATATCGGGGTTCAAATCTACTTCCTATCTGTGTCTCCTTCTACACCTCACCTAACTTCTGAGTTTTAAGTGCTCCATACACACACACACACACACACACACACACACACACACGGTGGGGAAGGTTTGAGTAATGAACTGAAAACCTATGTAGTACAAGATGGTTTCATTAATGAAATAGAAAGGCTGGCTTAGATGGAGTCTGTGAGTCTGAGTTGCAAGCCTTTTCTTCCAGAAACAGAAGTGTAATACTTTTGGTGGCTACCACTCTCCTTCTTCTAAAAGAGAAGAATTAGTTAAGTCAGAGGATCTTGGGTAATAGCTCTTGTGAACGTCTTCCCTGTCAACCACCACCCAACGGTTGCCCTTTTAGAGTTTGATATGAGATATAAATAAACTAGCTACCCAAAAATATGAAAGGTTTCTGTATTTTCTGGGAAGAAACAAGATGAGATGCTTTAGTTTCCAAGAATAGCCTTGAAGCAATTTGGTTTTTGCCAACTAAAGTCCCTTATTTGTGGTTCTGCCTTATACGTGACTTCATGAGTCACAAAGCAATTCCCTTTCCCTGCCTCTGGCTGCCACAGACTAAAACCCAGGGCCTCAAACTGCTGGCAGAAGCACTGGTAACGGGCCTGGCCCATGGCAACCGGGAGACAAACCTAAGGTTTGTGCAGAATCCCTAAGTACCTCTCAAATTAGAGAAGGGGCCTCCTGGCCCGAGAGTGGCCAGTGCACTCACATTTGGGACTGTCACACCTCCTGCCTGCCCTGAGCCTCGTCACCTGTCTAATACCGTCAAACAGTGTGAGCAGGTAGTGGATAAATGGCAGAGTCCTATCAAAACTTAAGGAGGACTAGAAGGACACTGGACAGGATCTTCCCACAAAGCAGCAATTCGGCTCAGGAGAAAAGCTCAGCCCTGAACCCCACCGCCAAGGCATAAGATGAGATACCTTTCGAGGTAAATGCAATCTAAAAACCAAACCCTCTCACTATTGGCACTCCCAAGCTCCCCATTCCAACTTACCAGTTCCCAGGTCTACCTCACCAAAAGGCCACTGGGCAGGGCCAGTTTCCTTAGCAATAAAATGGGGTGTTTGCCACCATGCACTCACAGACTGGCTGGAAGGACTGGGAGCTCCAGGTCTGTACCTTGAACACAGAGGACCTTTGGTCATGGCTACCTGGATCCAACACCTGAGATAAGGCAGGAGCTGCTCAGGGCTTTGGCAACGGGAAATCTGCACCCCCACACACACATACACACGCTGCATCGATCTCTACAGACCCCAGAGTGGGCACCTAGTCTACTGGCAATACCTACAGACATCATCTTGTCAGCAGGCCCAGGGAGGGCTGGCTTTCCATCTACAGGGCATGTGGCAACCGACCTGAATCAAGGGGGTAACTCTCAGAGTTGGGAAGGGACTGAAAGTGCCCCCTTGTCCTTCCAGCCAGGGGTCCCCAGACTTCCCTTGGTCACCTACCAAAATGGAGAGCACACCGCCTCCGGGAGCAGCCT